ATATGTTATTGTAATACACAGTATTTTAATAAAATAAAAAAATCACTTGTGTTTAAAAATTATTTCTAAATATATTTATAACACAGAAAGATATATTATAGGTACTTAGGTACATATTACAGTATCTTTATAGGTATGTATAATGATTTATTTACATTATTTATTCAAGAAATGTATTTTTGTATGGTCCTTTATTTAAGTTTGATAATTTAACCTGTACATAGGCGTGCACAGACATAGCTTGCAGGTGGTGCATTCCTATATTACAATTAATAACTATATTCGCTACTATTTTTGCCACCATCCAAAATGTTTTCCTATCCACAATAATAGAAATGCTTGGCATGGTCTATAAATGCAGATGTACCTAGCAAGCCTACAGATACCTTTTATTATAATATGTTCATGCCTATTGCCTATGATAATTGATAACTATTAAGAAAACAAATTTTAGATATAAGTTTTGATTGATTAATTACAAAAGATATACTAATAGTAATACATACTTGAATAAAAAAAATAGTTTTCAAGTTTCAGCAGGTGGTGTATTTGCATACCCTGCACAACCCATAAATATAAAGTTTAATGTTATTACTTTTTTTCTTGCTATGTTAATAAACATAATCTAAATACCATTGTAATGTATGATTAAGAAGTTATAAATAAAACTATTTGATGTAATTATATTAAACTCATATGAAACTACTATGTGCACATGAATTAATCATTGTCGATTTATAATTAACCAATTTATGAATAATATAATATTAAACAAAATAAAAATTTAAATATTATTCCATTTGGCGGTCAGCAATATTATAATTTGTTGTTTATTCCAAGCCGAACAGATATGACACATTTCTTCCATGATACTGATATAAACCGTTTTTATTTACTGTCTGGTTATTAACATCACGGCTATAGATAATATGGTTGCGGAACGAACCATGAAAATGTGAAGCTCAAAACGTGTATTGGCTTTTACACCAGCACACAGCGCTCTCTAGGTGATAMATTGTATGACTTCATTAATAAAATATAATTATTCTAATATTTTGTTTCTGTATTTCTATCATAAATCTTGTTCTTCAATTTATTTATTTTTTTTTTTATTTGAATTA